CGAGGGTGGCCATCCAGACATTTCTGCGAAGGAGGGGCAGGATCTGTTGAAGCGACACCATACGGAAGCGGTGATAAGCCACATAACGGTTCAACTCCCTGAGATCTAATATGGGGCGAATGCCCCCGTCTCTCTTCGGGACTGTGAAATATTGGGAATAGAATCCCATCCCGTGGAGGTGGAATAGTACATGTTCGATGGCTCCCTTCTGCAGAAGGACGGACACCTCCTCAAGAAGAGGTGGGGAAGGGGGTGTGGATACGACGACTGACGTATTGGGGTTCTGAATGAATTCGATTTTGTAACCTTGGGTCAAGATGGCGAGCACCCACTCGTCCGAGGTGATGCCATGCCAGATATGTAGAAAAGGTGACAGATGGGTAATTGCTGACTCGGTGACAGGGAAGTCAAAAACTTTGTTTGGAAGGTTTGGACTGCTTCGGGCGTGAAGCCTGCTGGCCCGGTCCAAATTTGGGTCTTTGGAAGGCGGATTTCTGGCCTCCAGAAGATGATCTAGGTCTCCAATGTGTGTCTGAAGATTGGTGGGTAGGCGTGCGCCTATGCCATGATCTCGACCATGTGCGGGGACGATACTGCTGTCTCCCAGAAGATGAGACTCCTAAAGCCCTGGACGCCTTTATACTCTTATCTAGCTCTTGCAGAGTGGTATCGGTTGTGGTTGTGGTATTAAACAACCCTAGGCCGTCAAAGGGTAGGTCTTCTACATAGGCTCTAGTATCCACGGGTAAGTTAGTGCTTCTGAGCCATGAATGCCTCCTGAAGGCTATTGCAGAGGCCATTTGTCTCGAAGATGCTTCAAGGACATGCTTGGTGGTATTAAGTTGCTGTTTTGCCAATACCATGTCCTCCGTCTGTATGACCCTGGCTTCTTGTAGTTTGTCATCTGGTAGGTGACTGAGTAGATTTGAGAACCGTTCCCAAAGGGTATACTGGTATCGACTCATACAGGCTAGGTAGTTGGAGGCTTTGACTGCCAGCGCTCCCGTGGAATAAACTCTCCTGCCAAAGGCATCCAGCTTTTTTCCTTCCTTACCTGAAGGGGCGGAATGTGACCTTTTGGACTTGGAGGATGACGTAACAACCATAGAATTAGGTTGAGGATGGGAAAAAAGGAATTCTGCTTCCGTATCTTGAACCCTGTACATATGGTCTAACCTCTTCGTAGAGACTGGCGCAGAAGACGGTTTCGTCCATGGTGACTTAGCTGCCTGAAGCAGAACAGAAGACATTGGCAATGCCAGTGTGGAGGAGACATCAAGTTGAACAATGTCATAAACAGTGTCTGACGTTTGATGTTGTTGCTGGACCACCGAGAGCCCCAGGGAGTGGGCCATTCTCTTTACGAGATCCGTATAAGACGTTAGGTTATCTGAAGGTGATATAGGTATTCCTCAGTAACTTCCTGTGTAGGAGACTTATGGTCGGGAGAGGTGTGAACCTCTGAAGCCTCAGTATCAGAATCGGCGTCGACATCTTCCGATGAGTCGTGATGTCCCATTTGGTCAGATGTGTCCTGCGGGCAAGCTAGTTGCTTAGGTGGGACGATGGGAGTCACAGGGCTTGGAACGACAGGAGGTTGAGTGGACGATTTTGCTCCAAAGAATGGTGGGGCGGGTCAACAGTAGGTGGATGTGAGAGAGAAGCAGACGGTTTTGTTCTATGAGGCGACCTTGACCGATGAACGGACCGGACAGAGTAACGGTCCCAATCAGAGTAATCAGCCGGCGTTAACCAAGGCATAGATGGTGAATATGCCCCATAAAGGTATCGCAACTGATGCTCGTCCCACGATATTGGTGGTGGTGGTGGGTGTAGAAAGATTCTCGGAGATCGACTTCTGAACCGTGGACGTCTAGGAGAGAAAGCAGCAGCTCGTCTACTAGGCGGGTCCATATAGCCTCGAGCATCGGTATTGACAGTTTCAGAACATGGACGTGGAGGGTGGCTATGCTTAATAGAAGTAGTGTATCGGTGTCGAGGAAGTTCAACGTCGGGAGCTTCAGACACCGTCGATGTCGATGACTGTGAAGTTGACGGGGAATGCTCTGCACACAGCTGGTGACTAACGAGTTCCACCGTTTCGACATTGGAGTAAGGACGGTCCGTTGGACGTACGGGGGAATCCAACACATGGATGGTCTGTATTGATGGAGGTGCTTCAGCCTCCGGTATTGATACTACCGTTGGAGCGGGAGGTACTATTGGGGCATCACCCAGTACCAGTACCGCTTCCTTCCCCTTTTTCACCGTCTTAAGGGCCTTGGAGGAGCCCTTCTTCATGGACTTATGGTCCATACCTGCCTTAGCCTTCTTTTTGACCAGCGTAGAGGCAGAGGATCGAGTCTTCGACGTCAAGTGTTTCAGTGTCGGACAGTCGACATCGGAAACCGGTCTCGGCGGCGGAGCTGTCGATGTGGACGGCCCTTCTTCCATGACAGAGGCTGGAGCGAGGGCAGATTCAAGCAAAGCCACTTTAAGTCGTGCAGCCCAGTTCTTTCTTGTTTGGTTCAAGAATTGAGCACAATGCCGACAGGACTCCGGTTTATGCGACTCTCCCAGGCAATAAATACAAAGTTTATGTCCATCCAGCGGAGCAAGTTTACTTCCACAGCGACGACACCTATTAAACAATCCCCACTTCTTCTTCTCCATAAGAAGTGGAAGCGACAGTTAAAGGGGGGGGGGCGAAGGCCTGAGGTAAATTTCCTTCAGAAAAATAAAGTCCTCCTCCACTCCTTTTTTTTTTTTTTAAAGAAGAACGAAAATAATAAAAGAATGAAGAAAGAATATGATCCTAGAGCTAGAAGTTTTGTTAAACTGCTAACAGCGATTCTGATCAGACGAAGGAACGAATAGGTCTTTCCAACGCGGCGGTAACAAAGGAACTGGTGGGATGTCCGCGCCCACCCCTCTAGGCATGCACGGTGGGGTTCCTGCGCATGCCCGGAGGGACTGGGCGCAAAAATCCGTTGAAAAGAGCTTGCTACAGCACCGATCGATCCAGCGCGTGCGCACTAGATCCCATGGGTGTGAAGCAAAGAGACCATGTTGAAGATCAGTGAGTTATTCTCCCATCAAATGCTACTCCTGGAGTACAGGGAATCCCCCCCCCCCGAAACAGCACAGGGAGCATTTGGGTCAGCAGTGGAGGAAGGGCGTAAGAAACTTGTATTCCACAGAATTCTTCCATCTGCGGAAGCACTGTAAGAGACCAACTGCAAAGCAAATCTGCTGAATTTGGAACAGTGTGAAGCACCATTATCCTCACTACCTCTACCATCAATCAGCAGTGTTATTGACGTTAGTAATAGCTTTTCTGCATGGGAGCATACGACTTCCCCCTCCCCTCACGCAGTGCCTCCTTCTGCTGACCTTTGGGTGCGTTCCAGAGCCAAGACACTACCTTCCGTAAATATTGTATTCTCACCTGACTAATTCATATGTTTCTCCAAGGAGAGGGTTAAATGGTTTGCCAGTTCTCTCCCACTGAGAAGCTACAGCAGAAACAGCAAAAGCAGCAACGGCCTGCAAGACACACCAAGCAGAGGACAATACAGAGCTGGCAATTACTTCGCGAGTTCATAGAATGTAACAAAGTTTCCCTTCAGACTGGGTTGGAGCTAGACTAAATGAGCAATTTCCATCGATTTCCCCTTCAGGCTGCAGACTCCCCTGATGTCATTTCTCAGGGACCCCAATCCCCCAGAAGCACCATTTTTATGCAGGTCAGGGGGCTGCAGAGGGTGGTGGAGAAGAAAGAGGCAAGAAAGTCCCCTTCTGTCATTGGGAAAATTTAGTCTGGATTAGGGTTGCCATCTCTGGATGTGGAAATTCCTGGAATTCCGCCTTTCAGAGCAGCCATTTTCTCCAGGGAAACTGATCTCTGTAGTCTGAAGATCAGTTGTAATCCTGGGAGATCTCAAATCTCCATCTAGAGATTAGCAACTCTAGTCTGGATGAGGAAGGCCTCCCTATGCAGACATGACCACTTGCTCGTGTGCAGGGAGCCTTTCCCCCGAGCCTAAATTGTATTCAGACCTAAAACCACCTAAATTGTATTCAGACTCCCGAGTTGTAGAAGCAGATTTGCCGCACCTTCCCCTATCTGTTCCCTGCCCCTCCGCAAAATCGCTGCTGAGAGTCAGCAGACGCTGTGCCAGGAAGGCCACATCAAGAAGGAGAAATCACGCAAAATCTCACAGACACCCTCTTATACCAGTGGATCAAACGAATACCGTGAATACATCGGCAAGGGCAAGTGTGGCCATTTTAGTGGATTCCCCCTTCTGCTACAGCCCTCCCATGCCACAGACACAGACCCATCTCCCAAACCTCTGTGGAACTACAGGGCAATGGCACGAGAGATTCACTTCCCCATGTTCCCTTCTATTATGTTGATCAAACTGCACTATCAAAGCTAACTACAGCAGTGATACTTTCAGAGGGAGCTGAACGCATGATGCTGCCTTATACTGTCTATTCAGACTGGCAGCAGGTTCTCAGGGTCCCAGGTAGAGAGAGGTCATTCACATTACCTACTACCTAGTCCTTTTTATACTAGAGTTGTCAGGGATCGAACCTGGGACTTTCTGCATGCCAAGCAGATGCTCTACCACTGAGTTACAGCCCCTCTCCTCCCCACATGGTCACTTCTAGGATCCACTGTAATCTCAACATTTCTCCCTTGGAAAGTGCAAATCAGTTGACCTGAACAACATGAAGCTGCTGTACACCAAGTCAGATCATCAGTCTATCAAGCTCAGTGTTTTCTACTCTGAGTGGTGGCAGCTCTCCAGAGTCTCAGGCAGAGGTCACCTATTACCTGAACCTTTAGCTGGGAAATGACAAGGACTGAACCTTCTGTGTGGCCCCTCTCCTTGTGTGGCTTCGGTTTTTCTTACTTATACACTTTGGAGATTGAGCCTTTTTACATTGTCATATGGAGGCTCATTATGAAAGCGTTCGACAAGCCACAAGGAGGTCCCAAATTTTAAAAGTACCACAAAAATGTTTATTATACGGGCTTCTTTTTTCTTTTTTTGGCAAAAGCAATCTGTACAGGTGAGCCTCAAAAGACCATGCAATGTAATGGTTTAATGGTTGGATGCAGATACTGAATTCTGTGTGGCTCAACTTTTCACCTTACATTTATATTGCATCTTCATAGCAACATGGCCACAGATGTTTTTGGCACTGTGTAACTTTCCAAAAAGCACTAATACTATTCTATGAAATTGCAACTTGATGATTTAATCATAGTTAGAGCCAGTTCCTGTGTGGGATGAGAGGAAAAAGCTCCTAGAGCAGTGATGGTGAACCTTTTAGAGACCGAGTGCCCAAACTGAGACCCCAAACCCACTTATTTATCACAAAGTGCCAACACAACAATTTAACCTGAATACTGAGGTTTTACTTTAGAAAAAACAACTCATACATTAGCTTAAGATGATCCAAACAAAGTAAGGAAAGCAATCCCAAATGCTTTCAGTTACTTAAAATTATTTGGCAGAGAATTCGACACTTTAATGATGGTCTGGGCCTGTCTGGGGCGATGGCACACATGCCCACAGAGAGGGCTCTGAGTGCCACCTCTGGCACCCGTGCCATAGGTTCGCTACCACTGTCCTAGAAGAAAGGGCAGGAAAAATATACACTGGTGAGACAGAAATGCCTGTTTTAAAGTGTCCCACATTTAATGATGACATAATCAGATTCTGATGTATAAGCAACCTCCCGTGGAAGAATGGGAAGATGAACCTGTGACCCCAAATCCTAGCCTGGCACACTAACCATTACATCACACCAGCTTTCCAGTTTCCCTTCTTCCCTCTCCCAGCAGCCTCTCTCTGGGAAACATCCACTCCCTGGGTATAGTCCTCACAAGCTGCAAATGTTGTATGGCAGCAAATTATTCAGATAAGTTGTGTGATGGCCACAGTAGGCCCAGCCAAGTCACACTATTGGTGCAATGGCTGCCACTAGGCACAGGTGAGTTGCATGACATCAAGTTGTCCAGAAGCCACTACTTGGCCTGGATAAGCCATTTAAGTCATGTGGTAGCAAGTCATTTAGCGGTTGCTGCCCCAAGTACACGGGGAGGGGAAATAGGGTGGACTGCAATATCCCCCCCCCCCCAACTTCTGGTGACAGAAACCAAGGTTTGAAGGATGGCAATATTGTTGTGATTGCCTATCAACCCCCAAATGACCACTGATTTTTCATAGGGCATTTATTTCTTAAAGTGACAGATTTTGCTTTTATTATTTTGGTGGGATTTAATCCCTCCATGATTTTTTGTTTGTTTAGATTTTCAGAGTTTTCTGCAAACAGGTATCTTTTTCAGGCTTATAGAAAGATCTGTTTTGTCTGTTCATGGCCCTAATCTGTGGCTGTTAAGAATCCACATCTAAGGCCATGGTGAAAATTAGATATGATTAGTCATACATAAGGAACTAGGAATTATACCTGTTATGACATTTGTATACATTTCCTTACTTACACAGCTCTTTATCTAGGTGTTCATCTTAACATGAACATGTGGGAGAAGGATACTTGGTAATTATGGCAAATACCTACCTGCATTCTTTCTAGAGGGTTTGAGTGACTATATGCTTTATTAATGAGGTATGTGTGTTCCATATATTCTGTTATCCGCTGGAGAAAGCTCAAAGGCTCATTGAAGGCAATGGGCATTGTAATTTTAGACAGCTCCTGCACCAGAGACAAAACAGCATAAGAATACAAAGAGCATGAGTTCCAAAGAAAGACTTATCTAATTATGAATACAATGAAGCGTGACAGATAATGCAACATGTAACGCTAATGTACAGACACTGCCACCTAAGCAGCAGACAAATGGAGAACTGAGTTCGTTAAAAATAAAATGAACTACATTTGCATATCACAGAAAAGCCTCATACCCCAAAAGTTGGGCTCTCAGATTTCTGAGAATCCTATAAAAAAGCTGGGGGCCCATATGGGGACTTATACCTTCTCCCCTTTTCCTGCTTCTTTTTCTCCCTCCCACCCACCCACACACCAGCCAACCTACTTTTATCTGTCTCCTGTCTTCAGCCTTCCCTCACCCTGGCAGCCTCTACTTAGGAAAACTGTAGCCCAGGTGTGCAGAGGTGGCCACCAGGCTAGGCCCAGCTGCACAGCTGTGGGGAGGTCCTCCCTTTTCCCTGTATTCCCTCTTCCCGCTATTTCCTCTTTCTCAACTCCTGCCAGCCCTCATATCCTCGACTTTCCCTA